ACGCATGCAAATTGATGGCCTCATTAGAAATACCTATTTTTGAAAAGTCTTGTTTACTTTGGAACACACCTGATTACAATTTAATTTATCCCTTCGCACCGATTTTTTCATTTTATCTTTAAATAATTTTGCAGTTTTAGTCCGAAAAATATTAATATTTCCATTTATTGCATATATGATTTCCTTAATTTCCTTTTATAATAAATAAAGTAAACAACAGTGCTCGTTTCACTAACAAACTACGTACTTATCAAGGAAACTAGTTTGGTTAGTCAATATAGTCAATAGTTTCATAAAGAACAGAAGTAAAATAGGAAAGTCAAGAGGAAATTTAAACATTACAACTCGCTACTAACACTTACCCTTGAAATAGTCCACTTTTTATAAGGCTATTATCGATTTTTGTCTGGCATTAATATTGTACATACATTCTAGTTGATGGGTATATGATAATGTTATGAATGAGCCTGTTAATTTTGACCTCTAATAAACATTATTGCTGAGATTAGAAGGGAAATGAAATTCTTATCAAATATCAACTAATTGAGTAGGAACTTTTATTACTATTATTTAAATGGTGCAAGGTTTGATTTAATTTAAAATAATTAAGGTAATACTTCATAGATAGTTCAATTTTTTTTTAGAAAATTGTGCTGCTTTCTAATTCTATATGTATTATACACAATTTGTTTTAAATTTATGCTTACTAGTATAAATAGTAATTTTTTTTTAATTGCTTGTAATTGTGAAGTTAAGTGAGGATGACAGTAAAAGAAACTGAATAAAATTTTCAAAACGATATTTATTTACACACACTCCTTTTTGCAACTTAGAATATTTAAATCAATATTTGTTAAAAAGAAAAAAATATATCGCACAGTTACATGAAATCTGTTCATATAAAATTTCAACTTAATCCTAAAGTTTTCAAAACATATATGTATAACAAACTCTTTTGTAACATATTCGATATTCCCTTGATAAGATTTTGATGCACATATTTTCAATTTTAATCAGTGTAGCCTAAATAAAACAAATTTAACATGTAACAGTTTTGTGCCCAATGTGGTTCAAAAAATTAGTCAAGAACTGTATACAGGGTGTTTCTTAAGTAGAGGTCTAAAATCCGGGGGCGTTTTCTGCGGCCAAAAATAAGGGTTATTTTATATAAATGTGGAATTTAACCAAATTAGGTGTGCATATTTAGTATGACAGTAGGTATGAAACAAAAAATTACCAGCTTTAGAAAATTACCAGCGGCGGAGGTGTGGATATTATTATCATCAATCATTATTTGCCAAAAAAAAAAAATATATCACCTTGTATAATATTACAAATAATGTAGGTCACCATATGCGCCATTATATTATCTTCACTTTTTGTTTTTTTACACTTTTTTGTTTGCCGATTAACAACAAAAGTAATTTATTTGATCAAATGCATTTTTATTATACTCATTACATTACTTAAAATAATAACAAAATAATTAGGTAATTAACAATGGAACTACTTGACTATGATTTATTATAACAATTGTTGAAAATGGCTACCTTCAGCCAAAATACATGCTTCAGATCTTCTTGAAATTGCAGCTGGAACACGTGCAAAAATTCCAGGAGTAGCTCTTATCGCATCACAACCAGTTAATAATTTGTTGACGTAAGTGCTCCTCAAATTCAATATGAACAAAATGTCCCCAAACAAAAAAATCAATAGGGTTCATATCGGGTGATCTGAGTGGCCAAGGTTGACCTGGTTCTTGAGTGCCTCGTGCTATCACGTTATTACCGAATCTTTCATTTAAAAATTCACGAGCAGTCAAACTAAAATATGGGGTGCCCCGTCGTGCATAAACCACATTCTTTCTCTTAGCTCATAAGGAACATCGTCAAGTAGTTCAGGTAAAACGTTTTCACGAAAATGTTTGTAGGAGGCACCGGTTAAAGTTCTTGGTAAAAAGTAAGGCCCAACAAGAAAATTTTCAATAATACCCACCCATACATTTAAAGAAAACTGATGTTGAAATCGAGTTTTCATTATGTCATGAGGGTTTGTTTTCAACAGACCAAACGTGTTTATAGTGGAAGTTCATTATAGAATCACTGGAAAAATTAGCTGATACGGGCATAACTGTTGATGCTTCAGAACGGACCAAGCTAGTTTATGATTCACATTAAGATTTACAGCTATCTAATACTAGTATTTGGGTCTTCTTCAATTTCATGTAGAATAGCTTCTTCCAACTCAGGCGTTCTGTTTTAAAACTCAAAGGTTTTCCAAGAATTGGACCTTTCTGAAATGAGCTAGACTCCGAAAAACGTTGAAAAACATTTCTGAACATTCTTGTATTTGGAGTTGGATGATTTGGAAATCTTTCTATATAAATTCGCCTAGCCTCAGTACTATTTCTATCTGCAAGGCCGTAAATACAGGGTGTAACGTAAAGGTTGGGAATAAATTAAACGATGGATTTTTTATTTAGAAAAATAAATATTTGTCATATAAAGTTATGCTCTACGGGTTTTCTTTTCAAAGCTACAGGGCGCTAAAAAATTTCAAAAAATTTAGTATTTTAATATTATTTTCAATGCAAAAGTCCTTTTTCAATGCCTATTTGACCATGTTCGGTGGTTGAGTTAAAGCATACTTCATAGTGTTTATATTATTTTTATTTTCCAATGTTAGCAGTGGGAAAAATAAGTGGTGTATTTATAAAAGTTTTATTTACGGAAAAATTACACGAGCTATAAATAAAACGCAAGAGGGTAATTTTGTTTAAAATAAAAAGTGGATCATAAAAAAATATTTAAAAAAATGTTTTTACCAGTGACATACCACAATTTTGTTCTAAAAACATTACGGAACAATCCGTACGCACGCCACTGAGTAACTTACAGTCAATCTTTTTTCTGTTACTAGGGGATTATCAAATTAAGTTAATGCTAAAATTTCGTTACGTTATCTTATAATGTTCAAAAGTTATTGGAGAAAAACTAAATTTTTGGAAACTTTTTAGCGCCCCGTAGCTTGGAAAATAAAACCCGTAGAGCATAACTTCATATGAGAAAAATTTATTTTTTAAACCAAAAAATCAACCGTTTCATTTATTCCCAAACTTTACGTTACACCCAGTATAAACCATACTGGTCATTTCAGTATTTGAATATGCATAAGCCATTATTTAAACTTAATCTTTTTAAAAAAAAAATAAGCTTAAATTTAACAATACACAATATTAAATGAGATGACGGCTTATTATTATTGTTTTGCATGGCCTCCCTAAAAGTAAATAAATCAATTTTGTTGTTAATCGGTTTGGAATACAGTGTAAAGAAACAACTAGTGAAGATAATACAATGGCGCATATGATGATATATTTTCTTTGAAATATTATACAGGGTGATATATTTTTTTTTGCCAAATAATGATCGATGATACCCACACCTCCGCCACTGGTAATTTTCTAAAGCTGGTAATTTTTTGTTTCATACCTACTGTTATATTAAATATGCACACCGAATTTAGTTAAATTATCTCAAACGGTTTAGAAATTAAAAATTAAAAACTGATTTTTTTTAACGCTGGACAATGGCTGTTCTAAGGCCCCACATTTATATAACAAAAAACCCTAATTTTTGGCCACAGAATACGCCCTTGGATTTTTGACCTCTACTTAAAAAACACCCTATATATTAAAACCAACACTTAGAATCAAAAATCGATCACAGCAAACAGCAACAAAACGCAAGTTATTGTAGATTTATGACGATTGTCATACTAACACAACAGCACGTATATGAAATAATTTTTTTTCAAATTCTATAATGTAATAAAAATTGTTATTATTAAATAAATATTTAAAGTAGGTAATTAAAAATTCTCAAAATTAATCGATAAATTAACACTAATTCTATTTATTTATGAAAGTCTAAAGATGCATCACAATTTTTGTATTATACGAGGTTTGAAAGTATTTATTTAATCTTCAATTTTTATTGCATTCTCTTCAAAGTAATCCTCCTCTAATATTAGGCACTTATGCTAAAGTATGTAGTGTTCAGTTTGAGAAACACTGGTGGAACGCCTCCTTAGGTTTCGTCTGCGATTTTGCCTTTATCTCATCTATTGTTGAAAAACTTTGTCCTTTGAGTATCCTTTTGAGTTTGGGAAATAGGAAAAAGTCACAGGGGTCATATCCGGAGAATAGGGTGATAGGGTGGTTGTGGCATCACCACGGTGTGGTATTTCTCCAAGAACTGTTGAGTAAGCAAAGGGCGCCAGTGCATTGTGTAAAATCCACAAGTCGTCTCTCGGGTTCTTGTCGTTTCATCCTGATTGTCGCATGCAAATTACGGAAAACTTGTAGGTAGTACTCCTTGTTAACTGTATGACGGTGTAGTAAAAATTCGTGATGAAACTGTTCCATTGTAGTCGAAGAAACTGGTTAGAAGGACCTTCACATTTGACCAGACCTGGCCTTATCTTCGATGTCTTCTTGGCCCTCCTGAAAACGTTTGTACCATCGATAAACTCGTAGCTGTGACAAAGTATCGTCGCCAAAGACCTTTTTGAAGGCTTCGCTGCACTTAATTCCGTTTTTAACACAAAATATTAGAGCCGACATTTAGCCACACAAAAAATCTTTTCTTTCGCTAAATACAAACTAAGCGTGGTAGTTGCCTAAAAATTGCCAAGTACGTCACTGACAACACTCAGAATTTGAATGTTCCCGTTACTTTTTCATCAAACTTCATATCACGCAAACTAATCATTCAATCATCTTTTTGAATCATAAATATGTTCAAATTATTTTTTCTGAAGAAACAAGGCACCACTGGTGCACTGGTACAGTTTTTTAGTGGTGATTATCACTATTACTTTAATATCGAAAGTTGATTAAAATCTAAGAGTCTAACAAGAATCTGTACTTGTAGGATAACATTAGCTGATAATAACAACAAATATAAAATGACGACTTCTTCATTGATATTTATTTTCAGAACAAAGTGATGGTTCCCAAGTATTCGAAGAAGGCCAAGAGAGTTGGTCACAAAACACACCAAGAAACAATAGAAACGCCGCCACGCCTCCTGGGGGTAAATTTCCCATGCATAATGGAGCTGATGTACACTTTGAGTCACCTAAAGTGCCTGTCATATTCGTCCTTGGTACGTATTAAAAGCATATTATGTTTCCACAAATATACTTCAATATCTATGATACGCCAATATAAATATCGTTGAGTACGTACAAAATATTGTTCTTGCTAACTGGCACTGAAATTTTTATAAGCACTTGGTAGTCAGTGACACACCGTTGCCTGAGTTATTTCTTTCCTATTATGTATGTAATAATTTTTCTTTGCTACCATTTGGAAGCTTTCTACAATCAGTGAAAATATTGGCTTATTATAGTGTTTTCAATATGGCATTAGCTTTATTATGGTCGTAAACAAATAATACTGATATTGATCCATTTTCAAGCCACTTATTGAAAATCAAAACGTACCTAAATCGTTTGATTGAATCTAATAGTCTTTAAATTAAAGTGCTTACTTAGATTAAGATATTAATCATTTTTGGAAGCTAGGTTTCTGATTGTAGTTAGTTTTTTGATAAAAAAGGAATATTTTATTAATTTAATATAGGATAAGGACTGCAACTTTGCTTTAAATTGAAGCCTTAAATTTGCCCAATAAATTGGCTAGCTTGTGGTAATTTCTTGGCCAATTGGATTCTATTAAAAAAAAATTATTCAGTGTTAATCTGGTTTTATAAATGATTTAATTACTATATCTTACAAACAATTGAAGAGCAGTATCTATCTAAATTCAGATTATGTTGAAAGTTTAGATGCATGCTGTATTAAATTAAATTCACAAGCCTTAATTTAGAATACTTTGTTAGATTAGGTCTGAAATTCTTAAAGAGTTGCATCAATTTCAAGCAACAAACAATAGTTTGATTAAAACCTTTTTAATCTTAGGGGGTCCTGGAAGTGGAAAGGTGACCCACTGTGACAATCTGATGCAAGAAAAAAAGGGGGTGACTCATATCAACATGACTGACCTTCTCCAGCAGTATGCCATCGGAAACGGTAAATAAATTAATGAAAACGATTTTGTATTACCGATACATATTACCATCAATAAAACGATAGTGAGAAGATTGCCCGCTTTTATAAAATGGCCCGATCAATAAGACACAATTTGCTTTACATCAGCGTCGTATATGAATACTTTTGCTTATGTTTCTTATTTATATGTTTTGATAAAAACAAATATTATTGAAATTTTATTTCCTAGATTATAGATATTTATTAAATATGAATTTACAATCAAACAACTTTTTGAATTTTATGTAGGCATACGAGGTCGGTTCAGAAAATAACCGAATTTTATTTGTTTAAACTTTATTATTAATTTTATACATTATTGGTCCTTGTCCTCCTCTATTCACATACTTTTCTCAGCAGTATTTCCATAAATTTGGAAATAATAAAAAATCGTAAGGAGAGTAAGAAGAGAGTAAGGGGGTGAGGGAAGACAGTACCTAATCTAATTTTTTGACACAAAACTGACGAATTGACAAAGCTGAGTGTGCAGGTACATTGTCATGATGCAAGAACCGTGAGTTGTCTCGTCACAACTCTTTTTGCGAATTTTTCCAGGTAACAATTGTAAAAAGTCTTGATAGTACACACGGTTTACTGTTTCACCTTGATGCAAAAATTCAAAATGCACAATTCCATTAAAGTTGAAAAAAACAGTTAACATCACTTGGACACATTGGACCGAGACTGACGTGCTTTCTTGGGTCGGGGAGATCCTTTGCCAATCCATTGTGATGATTGTCTCAATATCGTAGCGGTAAACCCAACTTTCGTCGCTCGTTACGATCCTTTGAATTAATGTTTCATCGTCATTCGAGGAGTTGCCGACAAACGTCCACACGATTTTCTTTCTGTTGTTCGGTCATCAAACGAGGAATAAACTCGATGCATATTCAATTTTTCAGTTAAAATTTCATGGCATAACCCAATTGAGATGCTAACCTCTTCTGCAATTTCTCAGACAGTCAGACTTGTACGCACCAGATCTCTATAACTTTCTGAACGTGGGAGTCATCAGTTGAAGTCAAAGGCCTTCTTGGTCGAGGATCATCTTCAACTGACTGATGACCTCTTTTAAATCGTGAAAACCATTTGTAACATTGCATGCGACCCAGAGCATCATCTCCGTATGGTTGTTTCAAAAGTTGAAACGTTTCCGTGAAAGTTTTCCCCAGTTTCACGCAAAATTTCCAGAAAATCGTATATTTCAAAAATCGTCGCTAACACTTAAACACGTTGCCTTCAAATAACAATATCACGAAAACTAAATGAAATATCAACACTTCAAGAACATGTGGTTACAGCGGAGATTATACCCAACGCAATGCTGCCAACCGCTTATCACTAAATGTTTTCAAAAGGTTCGGTTATTTTCTGAACATACCTCGTATACGTGTAACAACGACATTGGAACAAGACTAATTCCCTTCGACAAAACAAGTAGAAAAACAAGAGTAACGATTTTTCTTAGATTGATTTCTAACATCATTCGAAGATTGTAAATTAAATACAGTTTTTGATTACGAACCATTGAAGATAAAGACTTCATAAAGCCTGGTTGGGTGTAGTTAGCTTATAACAGCTACCCACGTGTACACTTTAATTAAAAAGTAACCCGTGGTATCGTAATTAAAAAGGGGTCGAAAGAGGTTCAACTGTGTAAAACGCAGCATTCACAAAAGTTTAACAAAGTTAAGCGCATTGTTATTAAATGAACGTAAGTGAAAATCAGAATAATTTCAAGTTTTTCACGAGTTTGCATTATTAGTTTAAAGTGTCTAAAAATTTGTTCCAATGTTGCTATTAAACCTAATTGCTACCATTCTTATATATTCCACTATTACTATTTTTATGATTCTGATATTGAATGAATGAAACGGAGGAGATATTTTCAAACTAATAGTGATGTAACCAGAGGGGTTATTTTTTCATTTATCTATCTACGGTTATGACCAGTATCATAACGAAAGAGTTTGCCATTAATTAACTTCTCGAAAGGGAGTTTTTAGTTATTATTTACACTTTAATTGGTACGTGGGAACTTAGAAATGTTGTATGTTCAGAGAATGAATTCCAGACGAACTAACACAAATGTTGTCTTGCTTCACCATAACACAAATGCTTCGCCATAAATTAAAACGATATCAACTCCGAGTTGCTATACCTACACGCAAACCATTTTTGACACTAACTACTAAAAACCTTTTGTAAACACCACTATCGCAACGACGATTGCAAAATCCGATTTCAGTATTCGGAGTCGCTGAGGCCACGTGAATGATGCTAGAGACTACAGTTGTCCAGCTATGTAGTGGTTGAATGTACTATAACTTCAATATTTTTTTTCTCGGAAACTATAAGGATTTTACAAAAAATTTTTTTACAATACTGATTCAATTTCTCATGCTGCAACTATTCCCAATTTTTTTTGGATAAGTTGTGAATCACCCTGTAGATTAAGTCTACACATTTTTCTGTACTGTTAAAATATGTTCATTTTATGTTATATTATGTTATGATTAATTTTATTTATCTTACAAATACCAAAATAAAAATTAAAAAATAAGTTCGTTCATGTTGCAAGAGTTGAATTCACTAGAATAATTTTCAATATTTTTATTTTCTTTTTGTTGTTAATATTAATAGGTAATATCCCAAATATATGAGCAAATACTATTACTATGTTAAAAATAAATAGAGCAAATATAATTTTTAATACCATTTAAACCGGTGCAATATATGTATATATAAAAAAAAATTCCAAAGTAAAATTAATTTTTAAGAAATTGTACTAACTTTTGTTTTATGAAAATGTTCTGTCAGGTCAAAATATCTACAGTACCAATGATTTTTCTAGTTTATGCTCTAAAAGTTACTTTAGATACTAGTTATTCACTTAGACCACTTTCTAAGGTTGCCATAAAATAGTTATTTATGTACCAAGAGAAATACAGGGATGATCATCCGCAGGCGACATCAAGTCGCCTAAGGGCATAATCATCCTAGTATCTCCCATGGTGCATACAACGTTTTATTTTTTACTTAGACATTTGATTTTATATTTATTTCAAATTTAATAATTAAATGTAAATGAGAATGAAAACAGTTTTTCAATATACAGGGTGTCCCGTTCATGTTTCAAAAAAACTTGTGCGCAAGTTCCTTATGGGAAAATAATGGGGGTAGTTCATGTAACGTTTTTTTCTTACACGCCCTGTTTTCGGGATACAGTGTGTTGAAGTTGTTAGTTCCCAAATGGTTTTCCTTAATTCTTGAAATCGGCTAAAGATAAAAATGTCAAAATTTGTACACGAGTATACATCAACTGTGCGTTAAGAATAATGTGCAAACGTTTTTTTTTTAATGAAAAACAGTGTCGTCGATACAGGTAATTGCAGGGGCACAAAGGAAAAAAAAATATGTTAAAAGTCAAGTCAGTTAGTAAAGTCTAAAACATACTATAAAAATGGTATACTTGTCGAAATTCGGTAGTAGTATGCTTTAGAGTTTACTAAACCATTTAGAAATGTAACAAATTTTGACTTTTGCCATTTTTTTTTCAATTGTACCCCTCCAATTACCTGTATCGGCGACACTGCTTTTCAGAAAGAAACCATTTGCACATGTACAAATTTTGACATTTTTATCTTTTACCGATTTAAAGATAATTAAGGAAAACCATTTGAGAACTAACAACTTCAACACACTGTATCTCGAAAATAGGGCGTCTAAGAAAAAAATGTTACATGAACTATCTCCATTATTTTTCCACGAGGAACTTGCTCACAAGTTTTTTTGAAACATGAACGGTATACCCTGCATAAACGATGTATCCAGGATGTATCTATGGCTCCGTGAAGTTAGCCGCGCTTAATGTTCAATTTGTATATTTTATTTCACCAGTAATTGGTAAGTAATTTGTAAGTATTTATAAGCCATAAACCAGAATTTGTAAGTAGCTCATTAAGATGTTATCTATATGTTAAGAAATCGAGGCTAACTTCTCGGGAGCCTCACTTCTATTGAATTTGCGAATTTTCTTATCATCGAGAATTAGTAAGTCATTTGTAAGTATTTGTAAACCATAAACTAGAATTTGTAAGTAGCTCCTTAAGATGTTGTACAGAGTAACGAAAGTTACGAATAAATTATATAAAACCGCTGAGAAAAATATTTCAAAAAAATCCTCTGACCTGTCGATTTTTACTTTTAAATTGTCGTTTATGTTTGTTAACAAACGTACAGACTGATTAATTATAATTTCCCCCTTCCCCAATTAACTTCTTTATTTTTGGGTTTAGGAAAAATTTTTAAATACAAAAGTTATACAGAATAATATAAAGATTCGTTACTGAGGGTTTAACAAAGAATTTTTATTTGAAACGACTTGAATTGGTAAAAAATATATTACTTTTAAATAACGATAAAATTTTTGTAGTTTATTTTTTATAGAAGTCTTGAAAGCTGTATATAATCTTTACCTACTGTGTGTGCATTTTAAAAGTATATTTTAATACTTTACAAATATGTAACATCTTAACGAAGTTCTTAGAAATTCTTATAGCGTACAAATACTTACAAATTACCTATACTAATTTTTGGTAAAAAGTTAATTTGCAAATTCAACTAAAACTATTTCTTTAAATATACATAATACAGGATGGCCCACGACGTTTTAGAGAGGGAAATGTTTCGAAAACAGTTGACGCTATGGAAATGCAGTTTGTATGGGATTGTCCTAAAATCCACAGTTGCGGATGTTTCTCTGTGATCAAATTAGATTTTCACTTTTTTGTTTTGAACATAGGCCTGAAAGTAATAGATAATTTATATTCAACTGTCAATGTTTTTGCTATTTTTCAAGGAAACCTCTACAAACATGGTATCGTTAATTTTTTCTTGTCACAAGGTTTTTGAAAAGGTAATAATATACAGAGTGTCCCATTTATAATTCTAAAGTCGGTGTAACGTGATTAAAAATAAAA